TTATTAAACAGGAGCACTGTAAATATGTTAGTGTCCTACCATTAAATGTGTGAAATAAAGGGAAGATTCAATGTTTCTGAAATTTGTCCAAAAAACTCTTTATTTTATAAAAATCACAGTATCCATTTTAAAGCTCAACTGAAAACATTCTGGTAAAAATTAATCAGAAATTAGCTACATTCAACTTGATTAATCAGAAATTAATTTCCACCGTCAGCACATTGAATGAGTTTGCCAACTTAACACTCCTAAGCAGGTACAGTTTTGACTGATATTTGTGTGCTTAGATTTGTCCAACTAACTGAACACTACACCAGCCATACACTAACATTTTTCTTCCCACAATGACATGTTGTCTGAAGTACTAACAAAACAGTACCTTCAAAACAATTTTCCCATTTAAAGCCAGAAAACTGCATCTATCTGCCACCAACTAGAGACATGCAGAAAGCCAGTGAGGACATATGGAGCTTTTTCCATATCCAGCAACACTTAATTGAACAGCATTTTAATCTTTTTCTTCTTTAGCCTTCCACAGACTTCTACAGGGTAGTTAACTACTCTTGGCTCTTTGACAGCTTTCAGATTTGTCTTCATATCAGTCAGCTAGACAACATCTACATTTTTCTCTTAATTTTCCCAGCCATGGACATGAGGAATGTCCACCAGGCTCTTCCAGAGTAAATTCAGAGATCTACACTTTATCAGTATGGCAAAATTCATCCACCATCTTTCAGTAATCTTAAGAAAATGCAGTTCCCTTAAACTCCAGGTGCTGGGTTGGGTTTCCTTTACCTGATCTGCCATACCCATCCTTCAAAGGCCTTAACAATGACCAGTCTATACAAAAAAAATATTTATTAATTAAGGATAAAGCCCATTAAAGGCAAACAACTGAACTAGGAAAACCTCTGTGTAGGCTCAGCATTGAGGCTGAATGTGATCAGTGTTAAAGTTGACATGAACCAAAGAAACACAACTTCATTAAAATGGCTAAAACTGTGTTTGGTCTCATAGCCCCTTTAATACAATCTTGCTTTTTTTTGCATCTAAAACATACTAACTCTTTTGTGGTGAAGTTCAGCAGAAGATTTTCTGACCAGCTGCTGCATGCTCAGCGCACAGCTGTCACGTGGCTATTCTGGATTGAAAAGGGAGTCCAGGTCAGGATCTGCACGACTGCAACGCACAGCGGAACCAGACAGATCAGGTAGAACATGACATCATGGAGACCTAAAAACCACCTGGTGAAGGAAACAACAACACAGCTTTCAAGATGAAGAAGATTAACTTTCATGGTCAATTCACAACAGATTATTTTAAAAGCATTCACATTATATACACATATACAGCATACACACGTTACTGTATACAATCAACTCTAAATAAAAGAAATAGAAATAACTCAGATATCAAGCATACTTCAATTATATTTTCTAATTACACAAGTATGTTGTTTATTCCTTCCATAATAGCTGGGAGGAAATTAGATAATTGGGACACAGAGTTAATTTTAATACACTATAGGCAACCTAAGATATCCTGCTCACTGCTTTAGTACACATTACATTACGTAATAGAGAAATCAATTTCAGCAATATAATCCAATTATAGAACAGAGCATCTGAAAAGGTTTAGTAAGACTGAAAAATCTGGAAGAGAAAGAAAAGCAGAAAATGGAAGCAAACATTTTAGTATGAAATAATTTTATTTAAGTTAAAAGCTGTGCTACCAGCAATCCAGATAGTGTGTTGTTAGAGTTGCTGAGGAAAGTAATGATCAGTGCACATAATTCAGATACTGGTATAAACGGCTGATTGAAATATCAAGCCTTATTTAATTCTGTTTTAAAATAAATTATTACAAGATAATACAAACCATAAAAAGAATAAATGTGAAATTAACATTCTCATTTATTCTCATGGACTCATGGTTTTTCCTCATCTAAATCTTCTCCAAAGAGTAAGAGAGAAAAACTTCAACAAATATGAATTAAAAAAAAGAAAATATAGGAGTTAAATAAGTTCCCTTTCAAGACCAGTGTGGTTTCTGACAGCTCAAAGCATACATTCAGGTATTCATGTAGTAGCTAGAATAATAATCTACTGGCATTCTGTTAATTATTGGATTCTAATTACTTAAATATCAGGAAAGTCAACTCAAACTGAGAAACACCCCCTAAATGAACTTTTGCTCTGTAAGACAATTTATGTTATTTTCTTTGTTTTTCGTTAGCATTCAGGGATGAGACATGAGACACAGGTTAATACAGGCTTGTATTCAGTTGCATTTTCAGTCCACCTACAGGTAAACAAGGGTCCACATCATGCACAGCACCATCACTGCTGCAAATAGTTAACTGTAAGAGCAGTGTCAGCAAGGAGGCCACAGACAAATTACTTACCTACCTATCTAAAGATTAAAGTGGGACTAAGACACAGTTAACAGGATGTTTGGGGTTGTACTTTGCCTGTTCTGCACACTGAAGAGGATTGCAGCTTGCAATATTAAAATTATTCCATCTTTATGCATGGACTTCAGGAAGGACAAAAAAAGAAACAACATCTGCCAAATCACTCATGCGGGTACAATCCTGATTTGGTTTCACTGGAACAATATTGGGTTAGGAAAACATATTACCTATTGTAGTGTAAAGCCTTAATTCACTGCAGGAATTATGAAAAATATCTATAGTACACAGAACAAGGCATGGGAAAATATTTCAGTAAGAGACTGAGATAAATCAAGAACAGAGCTCAGATTTCATCATAATAACAGCTGAACTACTAACTTCAGAAATTTCCTTGTTTACATTTTTTGCACATGCAGGAATAAAACATACAATCTTTCACTAAACAGCCCTAATATAACTCGGGATAGAATTTGATGTAGTCCAGTAATCAATATAAAAGCATCAACAGCTTGAAGTCCCTCTAATAAATAATGAAGAGTTGCTGTCAAATTACTTCGTTCTATAGAACGACTTTGAAACGCACCTTTAAAAGAAGTTCGCTGTAGTTGCAGGGGCTCTCCAGAAGAGGGAGTTTTAAAACTAGGTATCTTTTCCATAGCAAAAAAAAACCAAAAACCAACCAACCAAAAAACCCCAAACAAATAACAACAATAACAAAAACAACCAACCAAAAGCCACAAACAGCAAAAAAACCCAAACAAAACGCCCCAAGCCATATGGGCCAGGTAATGCTTTCCTCTGATGACAGCTAGAAAGAAGAAACCAAACAAACCAGGACCATCCTGCAAGCTGTTTCTCAAATTTTAAGGATATTAAAAAATACCTCTTAAGCTAGTTACCACTAGAAAATACTTATGTGTAGTGACCACATTCCCTAAGAATGTGGTATAATGTTTACATTAAGGTATCCAGAATCACATGTAACTCACATGGAATTGTGTACAAGATACAGGCCAACCTGGTCTGCAAAAGAGGTTACACCAAAAAGCAAAAAGGCTTCTGGAAGACAGATAAAGTATTCACAGCAGAAGTTACACTTCAGAGTTATGATACCAGAGGCAAAACCAAGAGATACTGGATTGTTCCTAAGGAAGAAGACTTCACTGTGAGTAAGAAGATACTAGCACTGAGGCAAGTAAGTAAGAAAGAAGTTGGTGATGTTAATGGTCAATTCAAAGGTTTCAGTACAGAGAGAGACAGTTGAGGACTCTGGAATGCCTGCTCTAATACAGTGCTGGAAATACTGTTCAGTGATCAGCATTTTCTGCTTTCTGATGAATCTTAATCATCTAGCTGGAGGTGTTATGGTACCTCACAGATGAAAGAAAAAGAGGACTGAATTTTCATTTCTTCTAGACTTTTACTCTCTGTGTAAAACTTCTTCACTGTCTTACCAGCTTGACTGCCCTTCAAAATATAACTGTAACAGTAACCACTGAGATGAGGATAAACAATTGTCTCAAGAGATTTTATGGGATAAGAATTTCACTCATAACCTGCCAGTTGTCCTAATAAGCTGCTCAGGAATGTGGTCTTTACTGAGGCAGAGAACATGTATGTGTGAATTGCTCAAGAGCATGATGACAAAAGACAGGCAAAGCTTAAAAACCAGCATCCTGATCATGGAGGATGTCAAGGAGTCATAATATCCCATAGCTGAAGATGCAAAATGTCACTGCTGCATGATGAGGAGGTGTAGATGAGGTAGTGTCATCTTCCAGACATATTGCTGGAGGCATAAGCAGATGATTTATTTGTCCCAGCAGATAGCTTTTGATAGATAGGATTTTGTTGATACAGTGTATGATGAGCACCAAAGATAGAATATTTATGAAGCTCACTTCTGAAGGCAGGATGGTATTAATAAAATGCTATCAAATGCATAAGAGCACATTGCTGGCTCATGTTCAGTTTGGTGTCCAACAGGACCCACGGGTCCTTTTCTGCTGAGGTGCTTTCCAGTTGGGTGCCCCATAGCATACCCTGATACATGGTGCTTTTCCTCCCCAGATGCAGGAGTTTGCACTTAGAATCATAGAATCTGCTGAAAGGAGCACCCAGCAAAGGCATCTCCCTGCTTCGGAAATCTCTTTTTGCTGAAAATTAAATGCTAATTTCCCAAAGAACACTTCAGACTTGGTGAACGACACCAGCATTTCACACAGATTTCACAATATTCTGGTGATGCTTCAGGAAACTTGGAAACCCTCTATAGTTAAGATCATTATTTTTTTGAGTTTGGGTTTTTATTTGCATTTCAAATTTATTTATTTATAGATCTAAAAACCAAACAAATACTGTCTTCTTAACATCAGATGAATCTAACTCATTCATTCCTTCACTCATTCACTGAGTTCAGGAAGCATTTGGATGATGCTCTCAGACTTGCTGAACTCCATGAGATTCCTTGCAACCCCATTTCTCCAGCCTTTTGAGATCCCTCTGGATGGCAGCATGACCCTCTGATGTATCAGTTGCACCTGCCAGTTTTGTGCCATCACCAAACTTTCTGGGTATATCCTGCCCCATCAACCAGATCATTAATGAAGATGTTAAGCAGGACTGGACCCTGAGGGTACACCACTAGTTACTGGCCTCCAACTAGACTTCATGCCCCTGATCAGCACCCTCTGGGCTCAGCCTTTCTGCCAGTTTTCAACTCATCTCACTGTCTGCTCAATGCAGCCTGTATAAACAGCTTGCCTATGAGGATCTTATGGAAGATTGTGGCAAGGGCCTTACTGAAGCCCAGGTAGACAATAACCACTGCCCTTCCGATGTCTACCAGGCTAGTCATTTAATTGCAGAAGTTTATCAAGTTGGTCAAGCACAACTTCCCCTTGGTGAAGCCATGCTGACTACTACTGATGATGTCCTTGTTCTGTTTGTACCCAAACAACTTGTCCTAAGGCAAGTGTATTTTAGCTGTCTTGCATATGGCTGATATTGAAGATCAGCTGATAAGTTGTAATATGTATAAGGAATTTTAGCCCAGTCAATGGTCTGTGGACATTACCATGACAAAATGGCTTCCTAGAAACAATCTCAAATAGTTTGGTCATTGTGGACCATATGACCACGCTGAGTCCATTTGCAAAGTGAAGGACATGCTTATTTACACACAAATATATGTGATTAACTGATCTCAGCTTTGTAGCTTGATGCTGTTCCATGCTCTAGTGAAATAAATAAAATTTCAGCGTGACTCAAATGAAAAGATAGGTTTTAAAAGAGACTGAGCTTCAAAGTATTTCAGGTTTTTATACAAGAAATGTATTGTTGCTATAGTCTAGGGTCTGCTTATGGGGGAAAAAAAAAGATCTATAACTACTGTGATTTAAAAATCTATTCACAAAGGGATAATTTCTATGATTGAAAGGGATCGGAACTTCAGTCTCTGTGTTTCAAATCTGAATTTCTCTGAATCATCAAGATTAATATATTCAGCATTCCCATACCCACATCCAGCTCAACCCACCCCTCTTCTGCAAAAACCACTCATCTTATTTGACAGTATAATGAGTTTCATGTCTTCTTCACATCTCTCAATGGCTGGCTAGCTACAGAATGCATTAAAATAAAATTAATGGTTCTCACACGTAGTCTCAAACTTAAGGCTTCTTTGCTTGTGTCAGGATGCTTTTCTGAAGACTACCTGTTGTCTTTTTATGGCATGCTTTTCCTCATACATTTTTTTGAAAATTCCTTAAATACAAATAATTCTAGCCTTAGTCAATGCATAATTTGTCATTTCTACTTCAAGAACTATCTCCACACAAGTTCATATACTATTGTCTTCTATGCATTTAAGATTTCTACTCAAAATGTAGGAGAGCTACATAGTTCTCAGGATATTCATGTTGCTCTCTAATCCTAATCAGGACTGATTTTTGCCCTTTAGTCCTGAGTTCAGTCACTCCTTATGTTGCCACTTCCTCTTGGTTATAAACCAAGGGCCTATGCCCCTTTCAATGCACTGACTGCCTGTTAATTTGTTTTTATGAAACCCCATGCATTTCTAATTGCTAGCTAGCAACCCCAGCTTTATGCTGTGTATTAAGGTCTCCAGGGATTGCAATGAAATCATTAGCATCAGAATGGTAAATAGTATTGAAACCAAAATTACACTCCTAGTTGAGGCAAATTCCCTTCCTCCAATGATTATACTCCTTTCTCTAAAACAAAAATGTATCTTTAATGCAATCCTATTAGGTTTATATATTTAAGGAAGTAGGTTTATGCAATAAACAAAACACAGAAGCCAAGACAACATGCATCTTAATAAGAGATATTAGGTGATCTTTTTTTGCAATAGAACAGGAGATGGTCAACTACTGAAATGTATCCTTTGTTTTTCAAAATCAGGTAGATATCCTCATGTGTATTGTTCAATAAACAATTTATTCCTTAAAAAAATATAGAAAACATTTCTTTTTCTATACAGATTAAAACCAGCTAGAAAATATTTTTAAAGCACTCATTTCTGAAGTGCTGCTGATGCAAAATAATTAAAGATTAATTTGCTTTTTAGATACAGGATTATTTCATGTTAAGTTTTATAATCTACAGTGTCCCTTTTGAACTCACCTTGGATCAGGTTGAGCAACTTCATTATTCAGGTTCTCATATCCAAATTGATTTAGTATTGTAACCACAAGCATTGGAGCCAAAGATTGGGCAGGCTTGGTAAATAATGCATTGGTACCAAAAACCATAGAGGAAAGTGGTGATCTAAAATATTCAGGGAAAAAAAAATAAATGCACAACACAAATTTATTAGTATATTAATTACAACAGCAATTTTTAAAAATCCTGTTTATGTGCAAATGATAATTATCATGATACTTAGCTTTACAGTTCACACATAGCAAACAAAACCAGCTATCATAATTAAATCTAATTTTCTTTGAAAATGAAAGCTAATAAACCTCTGTAGTATATATACAGCTTGGCCCTAATTCTAAAATGACTTAGACTCAAGTTCAGCTTTGTGCACACTGAGTAATTAATGAAGTTAAGTTAGTCTGAACAGTGCATGGAGATTTAATTACAACTTAAGAATTTATATGCATGAGGCCAGAAAAGGAGTGTTGTTTTTTCTTCTCTCTTCATGAGAGCAACAGCTCTCACCTTTGAGGGCCAAGTCCTTTACTACAGTGACCATAACTGAATCTGCATTTACACAAACATTGATGGAACCAGCAGGGATTATCTGCCCTTTGATTAAAATCCAGAAGAGTTGTAACATGCTACGTCACAGCAGGGTTTATCAATTTTTATTTCAGAGAGATACCAGCAGACAGTTAGACTTTGAAATTTGCACTTCAGGTGGCATAGGCAAAACTTTCTAAAAGCTTCCTCCATGCTAGAAAGATCTTACAGTCTTATACAGAAAATTCCCTGACAATAGATGCATGTGGTTACAAAATAATTCAACTGAAGCTAAGAAAAATAAACATACAAAAACCTAAAGGACTTTGCTTATACTATACTGTAATTAAAACTAGAAATTACTCTGATGAAGTAATCACAGGGAACTTCATTAAATTTCTTATCTTTACTTATACTAAGTTGCTCTTACCAAAAATACTTCCCTGTCAAGGATCCAAGATAATTTACTGTCTGTAGTTTGACATAAACTAACTTACCAAAGAGTAACATAGTAAATAGAGAACACATTTAAAGAAAGCTGACATACCTCCGCTTGTGCTTTATTAAATCTGCATCAACAATATCTGCCAAAGGCAAATTGAACAAACTAAATGAAGCTTGTACAATTACCCTAAAGAAAGACAAAATATTTAAGATGCTCATAGTTCTTATTTATACACTTTCATAAGGAAATTGTAACAGACATTCTAAGACATACACCTCAACACTGACATTTCTGCAAACACACAAAGCTGAGATGTTCTTTAAAACAGGGTGATATATGTGTTTAAGCAGCAGTTTTGGAAGCATTAAGAGAACTGTTCTTGACTGAGAATTAGAAATTAGCATGAAGCCTAAAAGATGGTGGTTTTCTGCTTTTTTTTCTGGACATTGGTGCAAAAGTCATAAATACTTGCTTGAGATCATCAGTAAATGTCATTTAAAATAACAGAGAAAAGAAACACCTTAGAAGAAAAACTGAAAAATTTCTCTTAAGATCTGAGAAGGACATGAGCATTACTGGAAAGACTACATGGAAGACAAACTTCAAAGTGGGAGAATTAGACTAATAAAAATATTTTATAGGCATTCCTATATATACATACATATGCGTTTAAACAAACATAAAGCCAACACTTAAAACTCCTAAGTGAAGCCATAAACTCAAATATTACTATTTCTATGTCTTATTAATTTGTGGGTGTGATTAGTTTTTACTTACAAGAGGCTTTGAACAATTAGCACTTTAAACATAGTCTCTCTCTAGATACCTTAGAATTTTTCCCCAGGGAAACCAAAATATATCTTCATAATTTAAAATATGGAGGTAACAAAATTCAATTTATTGTTCACACAAGTCAGTGTTACAGTAGCCTGTGACTGAAATACTGAAAATAAGAATGAAAACAAAGGGCTTGAAAAAGGAAAATGAAGAAAAGGAGGGCAGGAAAGAACATGTGGGAAGAAAGCAATGAAACAGAAAATGAAGAAATATAGATGAACTGCTGTAGCAATAATGTGATACAAACAGGCTTTTATTTTAAAATAAGGCTTTGCATGTATCATAATGTACTATTTCTGTGAAAATACTGCTTCTTGGCATCATACTTACCCAGTACCAGTGAAAATGTGACTCAGTACTGGTTACCTCACAGATCCCTGACATGGACATTTGTTTTGCAGTGCAACACACAAGTGTGCATGCAACACAAAATGAGGTCTGAGCTTTCCTAGCAAACAAACAGAGTTCTTTTATCAGCTTCTCTGACAAGTGAAACTGTACAGAAAGAAAACCATAAAAGCAGTAGCAAAATCTTCATACTATTAAAAACAAGTGTCCACTCTGTTAGATTTACTTAAGCTGTGTCTAGGAATAGGGAAGTGTATTTACTTACATGTTTGTTGTGAGATAAAATGCCAACAGATAATAGTGTTCTGGCCCTAGAACAAACATGACAGCAGCAGCTACTCCTTCAAAGTAAAAGGAAAACAAGATGATTCTGTAATAACCAAACTTCTTCAACGAAGTGTGACTGAGAAGAACAAGGCACTGAAAAGATAATATAGATGCAAATATGATTAAAAGATACAGTGGAGTATCTCAGCATTAGGAAACCTGTAAAGCAAAACCAGACATATTACTACCCATTAAAAAAAACCCCAACAAACCCAACCCTTTCTAAAAAGTTCAATGCAAATAATCAGGGAGGTAAAACACATCTGGAAAGTTGGGAAAAGAAAAAGATTTGGCTGTAAAAAACCTAAACATTCCTTCCCTTGGCCGTTTTCAGGCATTTTGCAAAAAAGTGCTTACCCTAGAAATGGTGAGGCATTCTGTAATGCCTGTTTTTGTAATAACTATGACCTTGTCTCCCCCATAATTGAATAATAACCCCATCTCAGGAAGTAATTATGATTTAGAAAATTCCTTATTACCTGCATGTTTCAAAGACTGCATGTATCTAAGAAAAATACTAAGTTAATTATACAAATTTAAACTTGTTTGCCTACGTTGCAGCAAAAAGGCTTCCCTTGTAGGCAGGTTTCATTCTTCACACCTTCTACTACAAGAAAGCTAAGATAGAAGCTGAATTCTAGTTTAGTAGAGGCCACTGAAGCACAGTTCACAAAAAGGGGCTTTATTTTACATGGGTTGGGTGCTTTTCCCGTAACTTAAGTTCAGGACACTGTCACCAGAGAGAATTCTCTTATTACATCTTCAGCTCACAGGGAAAAAAACTGAAAAAAACAAGGTCACAGCAAACTCTCTATGGTTCACTGACCTTCCAGATAAGAGTCTCTGAGGAGCAGAGAGAGATGCATTTTCCGAACAATTATTTGTTTCACAATGTCACACTGACTTTATCAACAAAAGTGATTGTTATATATTGAGCATAAAATTATTTAAGCTTGCCTAACTTCTGTAGTGTCTGATTTATTTCCAATCTTTATCAGATAACTATTTCAGTTACATTAAAAAAACTATTAAACCTGTGATAAGGAAAAAAGTTGAAATGACAGTAATTTAGGAGTTACAGAACAAAGATGCTACGTTTAGGATTTTTATGTCATATATTGAGTTGTGATTTCCAGTTGCAATTTTATGTATCTTCTTTTACATATTAGCTCCTGAAAACCAGTACAATTTAATGAACATAACAGCCTGATTTTCAAAAATTCTGAACACCATCAGCACCTATAAGGAAAGTCAGATTTTTAGTATCCTGACTTCCATCATCCAACAAGTAGACATAGTGCAAGTTTTAAAAAATCCAGTTGAAGAAGTTAGAAGGGAATGAGCAGAATTTTTTTGTCCCTGCAGACAAATATGTTTACATTCTGTGGGATATTTTTTGTCGCTTTTCTTGTTCTCACATGTTACTGTTCCAGTTCATTACTTCTCCCTCCCATCCCTGATTGGGGTCTTGAAAGTATGTCTGTCTCTACCCAGTCAATGTAGCTGACCAAGACAGGAAACAACAAAGTAAATGGGAACGTATCATCCTCCAACAGCAGCTACTTAAAGAGTTTTGTTTGGTTCCCAGGAATGAGATACCACATATTTCAACAACGCTTTTAATACCTAATAATTTTTCTGGTGTTTTGTGCATTTATCTCAGAAACTTCCTGAATAAGAGATCATTCTTTCATCATGTATTATAAATCAAACCAAAAGAGAATTCAGAATTCTAAAGATTTTGCTTCTAAAAACTTTTTATCTTGACCTTGTTTCTCATTCTTTTACATTTAGGTATTACAAACCTTGTAGAATACAAAACATTAATTCCTTAAAAATTCACACCTCACATTCTTGCAAACAGATACTCTACCAGCCTGCCTGCTTGTCCATCCGCACTACCCTTACATTTTGTTATCCTGTACATTAAGGTACTTTCTGCTTGTAGGGCACTGGTGAGCTAGATTTCTCAGTATGGCCAATGGCTTGGCCCGGATGCAGGATTTTTTCAACACTGCAAATGGGTAACTAATTAAAACTAGTAAAACACCATGTTTTCATATTTTGAAATAAAAAAGTCAGATGCCTACCTGAGGACAAATAAAGCCTGCTCCATACATGACACTTCTTATTGAGGAAGAAAGGACATTATGAGGAATAAGATTATCTGCAAAGATCATCATAAAATTGTTGCAGAAGGCTAGGTGGAAGACTTGGAAGAAGTTCATCATTACAAAAAACAAAAAGTTTTTCTCTGTCATAATCTGTTTGGTCAATGAAATGACAGAGGTCCAGGACAGAGCTCCATCACCATGTTCCTGATTAGCATTCTCCACACAAACTTCTCTCTGCTCATATTGACTAGTACTGTATTTGCCTGTGTAACACATACAAGCTGTTGCTAATGCTGCGACCAAAACAGTGAAAGCCTGAAAATAGGCAAAATTTTCCATATTATCTGAAACGAGACCACAAAAGAGAATGCTTGTTGATCCAATTAATGTTGCTACTTGGTTATATTTAATGAGCTGAAGCCTGCTGTCGTGTCTTGTTGAAGTTTCTGCGAAGAGCGCGCACTGCGCGAGCAGCACAAACGTAAGCAAACCGTCAAAGGCACACAAGGCGACGATGAGGTGAAGACCACTCAGCCAGTCACCTTCTTCATAATGTTTCCAAGGAAACCAAGGAAGCAAGAAGGCTAATGCATATAAAGGAGCTCCATATAAGATAGAAAACTGGCGTCTTGAGCAGCATGCGAATTTGGAGTTATCTTGAATGTAGCCGAAAAGAGGATCATTAATGGCATTCCATATCATAAATACAACCTGTGGCAAACAGGTGAGAAACAACAGAATTTATGGTTAGTGTGACTTATCTGCAGAGGTTATACAAACACAGAAGTTAATAAACAACAGATTTATTAAAAAGAAATCTCTGTTCAAAGAATAAAGAAAGATGAAAGCTTCTCAGGTTAAAACAAACCCCAGACCAAATTCTTACAAGTTTATAGCAATTTTGAAAAACAAAACTACTAAGTAGGCAAGTACCCAACTACACATTGAAACAAACCCCAAAGACTTCACTCCTTCAAAAGCTAATATATCTGGGCTTTTATCTTGCAAAGTCCAGGTATTATTCTCATGACAAGTAATTCAAAACATGAACTGGCCCAATACTCTCAGGAGACCATTTATGACAGAGTCACTCACATGGATAATGACTTGCAGGATAAAGGCAGTATTTAAGTACTTAAACAGTCCACAGGAAAGCACTAATGCCAAATGTACCTATGGAGTTGAGGCGCAAGATTAGTTTAGAGCATTATTTCAAAGGTAAAAGTCCTTCCAGCAATTAAATTGTGGAGATTTTTTAGTCTAAATACCGTAAAGGATGTGCTTGATGTGCATCTTCAATTGCTTATGTATTAACTACATTTAAAATTAATTTACAGTATAACTGTTTGCAATGCATCCAAAATTAATTCAGAACTAAAAACTCCCTTTCTTGTAACACAGACACATGGCACATCACAGTATTAAAAATACTCCATTGTACAATACCTGTGCTTGATGAAACGCTACTTCTGAAATTTTGTATCGATTTAGGAAAAGCTTCACATAGTAGAAATTAAAGATACTGTTCATCATTCCAGCACCCAACGTAGTCATAGAATATGCCAGCGCATTAGGATGAATTCCCAGGACAAACTTCATCTTTCACAAGTTCAACTCTCTTCTTCCTCAATTGACAAGAAAAGAACTGTAACAGCTGGTAGAATAATCTTCCAAATTCAAATTACATGGGGATTTGCTTGTTTCAGAGATGTAGAAATGGATTCTTAAGAGGAAAATTTCCTCATTCTTACTTTTTTTAAAATGAGAAACATTTTCCTGAGATGTAAGACACTGAGCCCAAAACTGAATAGATGCAAAATATTAAGAAATCAGTGACACTTTTACATATAATCAGTGTTTAAAAACCAATGGAACAGGTAGACAAAAAAATAAAAGAATCCCTTCTTAACTGGTGCACAGACTCAATATAAAATTCTGCTATTGCAAGCACTGCTCTTGGTGTAGAGTTCAAAGTAATTGCATACATTTTACATCTTTCTTGCCAGCTAAATAGTTTTAAAATTATGGACTGTGTAGGAATGAAGTGACTCAATTCATATCCTTATGTATTCCATTGCTAGGAATGCCAAATGCAGCATGCACTTAGATGAATACTTCTTTCAAACAAATACCAAGTTTTGTCCTTGAATTTTAAATGCTAATTGTTAACAAGCCAAGGAAACAATAATTTCAGCTAACCAACTAATGAAATATGAATAGGAACCATAAAACAATCAAACCACCTTTTAATAGTTTAAATATTTTCATTGTATAAAAGACTGCATGTAAATAAAATCTAGTCAGTAACATATGCACAGCATTTAAACTATGTCCAAATAACAGAGGTTCAGCCTAAGAACAGAGAGTTCTTCAATATACCAAACAGATCTACAGTCAACAATTTTTAAGATGCTTTTTTCATATACCTAGGAATTAAATTAAGCATGTTTGGTGTAAACTATCCCATGAAAACAGCTAGCTCAAAGGAACCTCTACCTTTTAAAACAGAGTAATGACTACGTATCCTTGACCACATTTGATTCTATAAGCCAAATAAAGAAAACACTTCCCACAGGTCTCTGCTCTTAACTGAGGCTTTTTAATACATCTATTTGAAGGAAACGGTCTGCCATTGATTTGGAGAGACTTCAGCTTCAAATGTCAGCTTTACTATGTACGCTAACTCCAGGGCTTTACAACCTGCTTATTGCCAGTGGTCCACACTTTGCTCCTCTGCATATTAACAACTTTATCCTCAATGCAATTTTCAGATATCCTTCAAAAGACTTAGTTTGAATATCTGCTTGTTCAGCTTGATAGGCAGAACTGTAAGCAGCTCCCTGACCTCCTCATAAAAATGACCATGAAAGAAACAGGAAATGAAAACCAAGGCTGTTTCCAACCTTCCTGTGGTTTACAAAGTGGCTGAAGATGATGGCAATTTCCTAATCACCAGGCAAAAGCCACAGATGTAGCAGGAACTGGAAAAGTGTCTAGCCTGGCTAAGACAGAGGATGGAACAGCAGTTTTTCCACCCCCCAACAAAGAAAATTAACTCTTGAAGAGCAAAGAAAATGTACATGCATTTTTGCATATATACTTAAGATGTTCCAATATGAAACAAGAAGCAAAGAATAGGTAACTTCACTTTACAGGTTAAGAAAAATAATCAAGCTGACAACTTCAAGCAGTTTTTTCCTAAAGCAAATTTATTTGTAAGAATATGAATTTTTACATACTTGAGGATGATTGTGATGTATATTTTCAAGTTTAGTTTTTGAAGAGCTACAGCTGTAGAGACAGTTCCATTTTCAGGGGATGAAATCTTTCATGTCTGTATTGAGTTTTGTTTCACAAACTTTTTCTGAGAAACCTAAAATGACAAAGAAGGTTATTGAAAATATGTCCATTTGAAATGTTCCTTTTAAAAAGTAAGTTTAATATTACTAAATACTCACAAAACTTTTTCTGAGAAACCTAAAATGACAAAGAAGGTTATTGAAAATATGCCCATTTGAAATGTTCCTTTTTAAAAGTAAGTTTAATATTACTAAATGTGAAAGTCACTATAATAAGTATGTTATTGATAAATATCACCTTTTTTTTAAATTGCATGTTCAAGCCTTTGCAAATAAACTTAATGCAGTGATTTATGTAGTAGTTATTAGGGATTTCAGAAAGGTAGCCATTTATTCTCTGTTTCTGCCTAAAGGCCCCTACATGAGTCTTTGAATGGAGAACTGGGAGACTCTCCTTTCCCTCAAATTCCATAAGCATCAAGATGAAATATGCTTCACACTGACTTTATCAGCAAACTGACAGTCATTCCTCAAATCGCATTTGACTCCATTCCTTCCTACACACAGATAAAAAAACAAAGGTCCCCTCAGCTTCAGGAAACTGAAAAGAAGGAAAAAATAAGAAAAACCTTCTAACAATGTGCCAACAGGCCTCTAGTGCCATGACTAATTGTAAGATGCAGGATCTGACACAACTCTTCACACTAATTGGTACATCTGGCCCTGTACGTTGTTTATGAAATAGGTTCAACTAGAAGCTGAGGTACCACACTTCCTTTCCCAGAAGATGTGCTCTTTAATTGTACTGCAATGAAATAATGCATAAGTATCCCCTCCCTCTTCTTAATAGTCCACCTTTGTGTTGAATAGGTTAAAGCACAAGTGTTGACATTTTGTGACTCACAGAAGGCAAATCTGATTCAGAAATTTCTTGTGGCTACAACTGTGTTAACACAGATGAGCCAAAACAACAGACTGTTTAAACCACTGACACAGCACGACATGACATGCTTCTCCAAGAGTTGGACAACAATCACTAAAAGGAACTAAGAGCATGAGTGTGAAGAAGAAAAGAGGGTTCTCAAGCAAGAAGAGCTTCTGACTGAAGCACAGCAGCTGACACCACGCTGTGCTGGGCCCCAAACTGCAGCCCAACGCTCACAGTCCTGACAAACTGGTTGGACTCAAGTGTCTTCCTCATCCTTCTTCCATGACCTGCGCCACATTAGCACAGAACTAAGAATAAACACTGTCCTAGGCCTGAGGGGCAACACTCAGGGGAAACACTGCTGAAGGAGAGGAGAGGAGCAAGCAGCCCTCGGAGCAGGACACTCTGAGGGCCGCCCGAGCGCTGTACAGCTCTAACTGCTGCAAGGCGAGGGGCTCTGGAAACTTCCAGCACTGAAGTGTCGAGGTGCTCGTCCGCTAGAACTTGGCAAATCAAGCTGGTTTTTCCTCAGCAGCTCCCACGATACGGGACACGGCTCCCTGTGCCTTGCAAGGAACGAGACGGAGCGGTGACCGCCCGAGCGCCCCGCGAGGCGCGGGGATGGGCACGGCCGCGCTCAGCAGCCAC